CTCCAGATGACTCAATGATAAAGGGACGGAAAAGGATGGCTTATCGCGTCACCGGGGTCCCTCCCCACGGCACAGAGGCCGTGTTACTCTTAGTGCGCGGCTCTCGCAACATGTGACGCCCCCGTTCTCGCCATGGCTGGCCTCGACAGCGTTCAGAGCATATTCCATAAAGAATTGCCCATCCTCCTAGTGGCTGTGCCGAAGGGGCTAGCACAACATTAAGCTTACACGATTGCTTTCAATTTCGGCATTTCCGCTTTTCCAAAAAAAGGTTATTTTCAAACAGCATACTATTAAGCTTAAGACTGTTTTTTGTTTTCATTTCAATGATACCCGTACATTATTAACGTGGGGTTTATCCAGACAAATTTTAGCGCTTTTGTTAGCGATTTACACAGACAGAAGGCAGAATCGTTTCTGAAACACAGTGTGGATATTAGAATTACCACCGAGTCACAAATATAATCTTAGAGCAAAATGTCAAAATACAGAATATTTTCTGCATCAACTTTGTGCATCTGGCAAGGGTGTTGGACCCCGTGAACCACAATAAACTCTGGACAAGCGTGCATAGTTTTGCAGGCCCGGAACGAACATAGAACAAGACAACTGACAACTTGATGTCATAATTCAGGGAACAGTCTCCGAAGCATTTGTTGTGATAAATGGAACGCTATAGGCTAACTTATTAATTTCCGCCCTCTTCAGTTCCACGTTTATCACGTTGCCGACCATATATTTGCGGATGACTGCGCGCCGGGCACAAAAGTCGAGACGGACACGAAGGCGGAACCAAGAGAAAACTGGGATTATACAACGCGGCATTCCCGACGACGCCCATATAAGCGACGGAAACGTAGATGACCTATGAAATCTAGACGAGAGAACCAAATCACTACATTCTCTCGCATCTTCCGGCCACCGGAGTCATAGGAAAAAGGGGCGTACTCAGTACAAGTCTGTTTCATTAGTTAGCAATTTCATTCACCAATTTCAGCGAACAGCGGCTGGTTTTTTATACCTTTAAAAAACAGTTCACCCTGCAAGTTCTATCTACATTCTTCGCTTAAATTATAAGGTCACAATTGTAATCCTGCGTCAAAGATATATGTTCACATTTGGTTTGACGTAATTGGGGCCAGGGGTAAAGGACCGTAGTAAAATTAACAGATGGATAAAATAGACTGCGAGAAAAACCCAATCTCAGGATAAAAAAGGTTATTCGTCTCACATTCCAATTTCAAGTCTGAATGCTGATTCAGACGCAGCAATCAACAGAGAGACAGAGCTAATAGACGAGTAATGATGTAATTTATGTCTTCTAAAAGTGACCCTCTTGTATTCATTGCAAATATCCAAATTCAAAGCTACAAGGGGCTTTCTGAGTGAGAAAGAGTGGCCTAGCCTTTCAAGTTTTTATCTCAGTGATCGAACCCTTTCCCTAAAACCCTTTCTGGGACTAGCTAGGACTTAGCTGTTGACAGCGAACATACCGTTATAGTACGGAATTGCTGACTTATGAAAATCGAAATGCTTGCAGAGAAGTCTCCCTTAAGATAGAAGAGTTCCTTCAACCTGTTTAATAGACTAGCGTGCACAGTAGGTTGCTAATGTTTACAATGCAGGAAGGGTATCCGTGGTGGCTCATTTCCCGTGGACGCTCA